TTTTTTTTTTTTTTTTTTTTTTTAGTTTTTGGAAGGTGTTATGTTAGAGACAGATGAGTTGGTGTTCTCAAGCCACTGTTGCTGGAGACATTGGTATCTTGCAGATTTGTGCCTGTTTTGTGTGAGACCATGACTGCAGGATGTGCCTTATTACTAGTGATCATTAATTGAGGTGCCAGTGCTTTGTTGACATGGGGTAAAAGAACACTTAATGAGAATCAGTATGTGCCAGTGTCCTTGCAGAACTTGCATTCTGTTTGCCAAAGGCTGCCAAAGCACAAGGTACCTTTTAAAGCTTGCTGTTACATATCTGTGCACGCTCGTGAGGTCACTTAAACTAGTTTTGGTGCAGCTACTTCTGGTATAGAATGGATGAGGTTGCATATTTCCATGTGGAGACAGTGAAGAGGCAAACCAATGCGTGTCAAAACAGGAGGAACTGCTGGTGTCTCTACCTTTTAAACCCCAGATTTGGATTGGTTCAAGAGAGAGTTTAGATACTGCTGTTAGCATGAAAGTAAAGCTAGCAGAAGAGTGCCATTGCTGCCAAGGGGAAGGAGTAAAACCTCAAGGCACTTCAGTTGGCCAGAATGGCTGGAAGGAATTTGCTGGTTTCATTTCTGTCTTAGTGTTTGACAAACAGGCGTGTGGCTAGTTGTATTGTCCAAAGATTGGTTTCACAATTAAAGTATCCAGTTGCATACAGGAAAGCTGGGGAATTGCTGAGTGCTGACCAAGGAACAGTAGATGTTGTCTGGATGTGGCAAGAGAAAAAGTGCATGAAACTTTATATTGTGATACCCTGATAATCCAGCAGACTTCCTGCTTTGCCTGTTTACTTTCATCACAGTTTCAACACAAACATATGTATTTCTGTTTTTACTTGCAACTGATTTCAGTAGTCTACTCTTGTTGGAAGAACACAGGTGAACCCTAATCGCTGTGAATGCTGTCCCACTTGTTCTGTTTTTATATATGTTTGTATGTATAGCACTATATATATCTATGCAGATAGGGTGCTCAAAACACTTACCAGAAAGAGTGGAGGAGGGGAACGCAGAGAAGCAAGACAAATAAATCATACCCTAAAAGTACTTCAAAACATGGAGGTTTCACTTCAAAAAAATAACAGCATTTTATTATTTTGCATAGCTTATTTCAGTTGTTTAGTTCTGCTTGATTAGAATTTTTGCTAGTTACTAAGTTTATATATAAAATTTTCAGTATCTCTTATCTGCAGTCAATGCAAGACAGAACACATAGTATATAGATGCAAGGATCCAAAATACTCTTTTCAACTTCGGACACAAGGATTTGTTGTTTTACTTTGAACCAGTTTAAGAAAATAGCTCTGACACATTTGTATGTATAAATATACAGTGCAGTACACACTTCAAACTTTCATCAGTATTTTAGCCTGTTTTCCAAGTCTTCCATTCTCTTCGTCATTTCTTCCAGTAGACAAAAGTTAAGGAAAGAGAGCCACTGATAGCGTGCATTAATAGAAAAAGTGACAGCTGCCTGATTGCTCTGGTCCATAAACTTGCTCTTGTTTCTCCTCTTTGTTACCCTCTGACTCCCAGTAGTTTCTGATGCAATTCTCCCCTCTATTTTCTTACTTGGCTTTGATCAGCTGTGTTGAGAAAGCTGTGTGGAGCCCCATTCATTAACAGGCATACCTCAACAGGGAGTTCAGAAGGCAGCTTACTAAAAAGGCTGGTGGTTCTGAAAACTGGCTCTTTTCCTCTGTTTCAAAGGGAAACTAAATACTTACCCTACTCAATGCCATTCAAAAAATGTTTCACTTAATCACATGGGGAAACTACGTGTAAGGTAACAGTAGATTGTAAAACCATACGTAGCTCCATGGCTGCAGTATGAGTTGTCTGCTGCTGATTCTATATCCCTGCCCGATGGTGTAGTGTAGGGTACTGTTACAAAGCCGGTGGTTGCCAGACAGATGTGGAGTAGAGCACAAGCTCCATGGGATCTAGGGCTGGCTCTACTCAAAGTAAGAAGCTGTAGCAATGCAAAGCAGTGTACAGCAGCACTTTCCTGGTAAGCACCTCCAGCTGACGGGAATGCTGTGTCTACTGCTGGAGGCGGTTGGATAGGTACCGATTACCTGACCACCTCTATTGAGGAACCATGGTAAGGCTGGAGCCAGGGGAAGCAGAGAGGAAAAGGGGACCTAGCATCAAGAGAGAACTGAAGGCACTGAGGCCCACCTTGAAAGGACTAAGTTGCTGTGCCCCACTCCTTGCTTGTGCGCCTAGTGTCTTGAGTTCAATGTTTTAAGGTCTTACATGAGGAGAAAGGGAGAACTGGGTACATAAAATGGGATCTTTGACAAGGGGCTGTTAGAAATTGGTTAGGGTAGGCATGCAAATTGAATTCAGACTCTGAATTTGGCCAGAACAGCCATGTGCTGCCCCCCTGCCATGTCACGTTGAAAACGGGGAAATCTGTCCTCTTGCTAGTAGGGGGCAAGAGTGGGAGTCCTGCTTCTGCTTTTGTGGGGACTAACCTGTACATCAGGTTTATGTTCCGTAATTCCTTGAACAGTCTGTCATACAGAAGGGATTACTGTATGCATGCTAGCATCATTTGAGCTGCTTTCTATGCAACATCAATGTTCCTCAAGTGTTTATAGAAGCAAAGTTCAAGCAGTAGAAACTGCATTCATCTACTGATAGAAAAAATGAAATGTAGTTGGGATACAAAATCAACAGTTTGGACTTGTGCCTCTAAATTTATATTCTGTAACTGGAGCTAGTTTTGTAGTCAGTTCTCCCTCTCCCCAGATCCCTGGGATGGGGACTGGCCAGCAGAGTCTTTGGCAGTTACTAAGAACTAACGTATCATTCGCTACCTGAGCTGCTCTTCAGATAAGGCAGGGGAATGAGGTTTGTGATGGAGAGGTAACTGGATAGGTCTTACTCTGTTTAAAGCAGTGGTTGCTCAGTGCTCTGGGAGGTGCTTGGCACTGTTCCTATCAAAATGCGTAGGTCTCTGGCTCCGTGTCAGCAGCTTTTCCATCACCCTGAGTCCTTCTCAGACTCTAAAAATCACAGGGTTGCCTGCTCAAAGTGTAAAGCGATAAAGCAAGTGTTGCTAAGCTCAGTTTTCTTTGAGTAAGCTCAGAGTTCCTCACAGCCCAGCTGCAGGAGATTTCAGTAAAGAGGCCAAGGCTTCTGCTGAAGGGGGAAGGAGTGGTCTCCTTTCTTGTCAGCATCTAGGTTGGAACTCTGTGTGTCTGGATAACGCTCTTAAGGATGTGGGAAATGGCCTAGAGATTTTTCTCCAAAGTCATTTGGAGACTTTGGAGAAGTCCCTGCATGGGGACTTGATGAGCATTTCAAGCACCTAGCAATAACCTTATGCCATAGCTTTCTCCCCCTTTTATGAAGTAATTCTACTGTATTTAAATTGAATCAAGTGATCGGAACATGGTTCCTTGAGCTACCTGCTGAAGGATTCACTTGGGAAAGTGAGAGATACAGAGAGACTGGCTGCTGCAGCTACACAAAGTAGCTGGAGGTAAGGTCTGAACTGGTAGGCAGTATTTTGCATCAGGCTAACAGAGCCCTCTGCAGTCTTGCCTGCTGCCACCACCAGAGTGCTCTCAGCCTGGCTGTGTACGGACTGTTACCTCCACAGGCTCCTTGGTCTGAAGCTGTTCTTGTCTCAGAAAAACACCGCGATGAGCTGTTGGTATCGCTGCGCTCTCCTGTGCAGAAAATAAGTGCTTATTGATCTCGCACACAGTTACTGAAGTTACATAGATGTGATGTCTGCTTACTATTTATTTGGTTAGGCAGAAGCAGCTTTCATGAAGAAAACACAGGAGTTTGCTACGTAAATACTGCATGATGCAAAATACTGCAGAAAGTTGTATTGCCAATTGGCTGCTGCTGTCTCCCAAGACATCTGGTGAATGTTACAGATAGCATAAAGGCCACTGTACTAACAGCTCCCTTGAAAAGACAGACTAACTTGGGGGGAGAGAAAAAAGCTATAGATGTGTGCTTAACTAACTTTTATCTGCATATTTGTTTATGCAAAACGAATCAGATCTCAGTCCTCTGAATTCCTCTTCATTTGGAGTATTATTTTAAGTGACTCACTGCATCTGCTGCTTTACCAAGCAGTTCAGAAGGGAAACATCTCCTATATTCTGGCTCCTGTAGCCAGTGAATGCTGTTTTGATACCATCTGAGGAAATAACCAAAAGCAAAGTGTGTTAGTCTTGAATTTGACCAGTCATTTCTTTGTTGTCCCTGAAGGTGTTTACTGGTGGGATTAAAAGTTAAGATCCTTATTAACATTTTGGTTGCTTCTGTGAAGGAGAGGCAGATTTCAAGTCTTAAAAGCCTTGCCTCTTGGAGATTAACATTAAGTAGTTTAACTTTTCATTACAGTAGATTGATTTGAGCTATGGAGACAGCTTAGACTTCATGCGGTACCACTTCTTTTAACCTGTCCCCCTTGTCTTATGTGTAAGAAACAGTTCTGAAAGGATATATCGCTGGGTGAGTCGTCTTACTTCATTGGTTGCATAGTTCTGGAATGTCACAAGGTTTTCACATTTGCACTGGTCTTTATCTTTTGAAGCTTTTGCTGAAACACAGAAACAGTAAAGCATAATAAAATCAAATGGGATGGGGGAGGAAATAACAAGGACTTGTAAATGCAGAGCAGGTGTAATACAGCTTCCTGTTCTCAAAACGGGTCAACATCCAAAGGAACGCTTTGGGCCAGATTTTGTAAATGGTGGAAAATAGTACACAACACTTAGGCCTGTATATTCAAAGAGCAGTCTGGATTATTCTAAACAAAGGTAACCTGATTACCTGTTGTTCTTGCTGAGTGAGTGTGACTGT